ATGAAGGACGGAAATCTGCGCCGCAAAAGGTGTAAGGCGGAGCATGGAGGAATTAGCGTGTTTCACGGTCCTGTATCTCCATTCCTGGGCATGTTTGGGCGGGGGGACCACGACACATCGACAGCTGGGGGGCTGATAGTCTCATACACCCTCAATGTGTTTGAGCGTACCATGTGTCTTCAAGTAAACTCGAGAAATTCAAATTAAAGAATAAGTTAGCAAGAAATGGTTTTCCTTGAACGGCTGATTGGATTCAGGTGTTGTGTCTTGTGTCAGATGGAGCTTCAGACGACAACATCGATAAATCAACTGCTTATCTTCATGAAAAATTACACGTTAAAGTGAGTATGGGAGCTGCTTAGGGACACAGTTCTTAGAGACACTGTATGGGCGGAGACACCTAACATAGTCCGTTCCTCATTGGTGACGCCTCCGTTCTGATTGCACCGACAGAGTGTGACGTGCCAGTGAGGGAAGATCAATAGCCCTCGTAATTATACGTAGGGCTGAGCATCTTCGCAGAAATTCACTGCAGTTCCCTTTGTTCAGGTTTTTGCAATGGTTACGCGACATTTCAACAAAAGCCGCCTTGTGGCTGTGACTCGTTTCGAAGGTTCAATTTTTGTAATGGACCAGAAAGAAAGTATCAGTATTTGGCTCTGGCGACAACAAGTTGGTGACCAAATCTCATTCTCTCGCCTAACATCGGAATAATTTAAATCGTTGTTATTCCAGAAAATGTGGACTGAAAATTACGCGGCGTACATAGAGAGGGAGAAATCGATGCCGCTCAGCCTCAAGCAAAGCCCGAAGAAAAGTGCTCGAACGGACCGAACGGACGAAACGCAATCAAAATCGCCCAACTCCGTCTAGTCTTCAAATCTGACGAGGCTATGCGATCATACGTCGCAGGATGCATGTTTCAGGAGAATACCCCGCACTTTCAGTTACCCAATAAATTTCCTGTTCAAATACACCATTATCTATGACTCGTAGCAACTATTATCAGCTCCCTTTGTAAAATATTCTTCTTTTTTATACAACAACCGCTACAACTATACCGGCGCAACACGTCACCCACGTAAACAAATATGTGTCGAGCGCAGCTGCAGACGAGCTTCTCTACTCCGGAATTCAGCTTGCACTAATTGCTTGCTAGATGACCGCATAGCGAGACGGACGATTCTATCGCGAGCTAGTGAGGTCACGCCTCTGGCGTGGCGCGTGGCGAGTGCCTGGAAATTTCAGATGCATGGATTGTCGCTGGGCAAGGGATCTGCGTTGGTCTAAGGCGTACTCAATCAGGCGTTGCTGGACCTCCCCTTCGTGATCCCTTTCAACAGTTCTATCGAGCCATGAGACAACACAACTCGTACGGAACGGCCTCGACGTCGCCAGCCCACCTGCAGATGTATTGAACATATTGCGCTGCGATCATAGCTCGTTTTCCTGCAAAAAGGCAGTGGCTGGCTGCTACGGTTTACAGAATTACACATTGAAGTGAGTATAGGATCAATTTTGTTGAGAGGCAAGGACTCAGAATGACAGTCCACATCGATTCTATGGGCGGAGACACGGGTGACACCGGATGCCCCCTTCCGGTACGACGAAGACGAGTGGTATGCCCATGAGGGGAGAGCAATGATTGGGGCCACACCCCCAGACTCGTGACAGCATTTCCCAGAGTTTTGCAGTTCCCGCCTTGTTCAGGTTTTCGCAATGGTTACGCGACATTTCAACAAAAGTCGCCTTGTGGCTGTGACTCGTTTCGAAGGTTCAATTTTTGTAATGGACCAGAAAGAAAGTATCAGTATTTGGCACACTGAACTCAATCCTGTCAGAGATACACTTCCACTCACCTACTATCAGATCCTAAAGAAGTCCTGCGACACTTTGACCAAATTTTCGGGCCAAATTTTCCTTCACTAAAAGAGACCACCAATCTACAAGGTAGCCACCATTAATGATTAGAAAAACCTTTTGCACAGCTTCTCGTTTCCACTCTTATAAAACTACGATAAGGGGAGAGGTCCTCATTTTTGGATAGACGTCGATTTTCGGAATTTTTGCTTTCTGGAGGGTGCGGTAGGGACTAGGGTAGGTGCAAGTTAAAGGCTGCTGAGCTCGCTTAATAAGCTGGGTACTGCATTCAAGCGTGACGTCATCCATGTTTTGCTGCCGATTAGTGTAGACTAAGGCCGTTATTGCTGTGCTAGTACCCAGCGACACCGCTTTGAAGTCCCACCATAACACAGTGAAATCTTTATTCCATGCACATCTGCTTTTGGCTGAGCATCTACTTTTCTCCTTGAGAGATCCTGCGAGGGATGTGTGCATAGTTTACGCAAGGACTCCAACACTCGTTACCAACCACGCGATCTCACAAAACTTCTTCCAGTGTGTACGAGGAAAAAACTCAGAATCAGTCACCACCATTCGGTGCGCTTTGTCAGACTGGTCCAACCCATGAGGCATCCTTCTTCACAAAAAATCCGCCTACACCCTATAAGCGAGATTGCGGAGAAGCAGCAGTTGTTAGGTGGAGCCTAGAGAGGTTGCCAACTTACTGGTGGTTACGTTCGGCTGCGCCTCAAGAAGCTTGAGTAAACGGCCGTCATTCTGTGCTGGTGGCCGACCTATACATTGCCTACCTTCGAATTAAATAACTCCAGTTTGCAAGCGCTAATACAAACGGGACCCTCTGCCGTATCAAGCGACACCCTCCCTACAGGAACTGACAGTATAGGAGAGGTCAAAAAGTACCATGACCTTTGAGGGACTCATAGGCTTCGAAAGCTTCCACAAATTCACAATATACCGATTTGCCAACTCAGGAAACACTCTCCACTAATCAGGGATGGAAACATCAAAAAATTTTTTTGATCTTTCACTAAAACCTAATCTAAAAATCTTAATCTAAAAAAGTGTCGCAGGACTTTCCGTCCAACCTAGTAGGATTCTGATACTTGCCATGTATGCGATTCCACATCTGAGAGAATGTACACCATGGCACAGAATGGGTCACTCGTGGGATGTGTCAGTTTGACTTAACTGTCATCTTGTTCTGTGCTGGACAGAGGCACGACTACAATTTTGTCGAGGTGAAAATATCTCCCCAAAAGCACAACTGCCGCCACGGAAAGTTGAAGTACGCAGCCACGCCTACCACATCTCGGGGATTTTGAGTGTATCTCTTTCGCCACTCGAAAGTCAGCAGAAGGGGTGGTGGCTGGATAATGCTGGCGGCTCCATCCGCTGCGCCTCTCTCGTTTTACTGGAGCACTGTTATTTTTGCATCTGGCCCAGGGAACGTCCTTACGTTGGGGAGAGGGGTCGTGT